TGTGTGTGTGTGTGTGTGTGAGAGAGAGAGTGAGTGAGTGAGATAGAGTGTGTGTGTGTGTGAGTGAGTGTGTGTGTGTCCTCACCTTCAATGGGTCTGGGCACGAAGTGTGAGCACGGTTTAGTTTTCTTGACCCGGTTTCCCTTCATGATGATTCCTTCTTTATTGAGTCCGAGGAACCAGGCGCGTCCGCTCTCATGCTGGCGGTACAGCGTGGATGAGTAGATCACATAATAATTCTCAAAAACACTCTCCTTAAACTTACACTCCGCTGTGAACGTATCCTACAGACAGACAGAAACAGAGAGATCGAGAGAGATGTTAAAACACAATTACAGCTCTCAGGTGTGTGTGTGTCTTAGAGTCTTTGTCCCAGTTTCTTTATAAAGTCTTTTGCATGCACAGGTGGAGAGGGTGGAGACCGCCATCATCCAGAGCAGAAACCACCTCGGGTGAACACACACACACACACAAACATTTGACACAATTAATGTTTTGTATATATTTCATACAGTGTATCATATATGGCAATATCACTCTTAATATAGGTCAATATATGTCATTTATTACATTTCCGTATGGAGTTCTGTACGACAAAACGTCTTGTCAAAGTATTGTCAAGTTATAGTTACGACAGGCCTTGTTTTGCTCATGAATTGAAAAACTCCATTATAAAAAGCCACGGGAAAATCTCAACCCAAGGTGAATTAGTCTTCTGGGTTTTGATGCTAAAACTTTATTTATTTATAAAACTTTACCTGGTTATTTCCAGGTATTTGTTCATTTCCCACATTTTCAATGCGGTCTCAAACTTTCGAACCCTACTGTATATTACACACACACACACACACACACACACACACTCTCTCTCTCTCACACACAACACACACACACACACACACAGAGAAGTAAGGGAGATGTGCGCTCTTTGCCATCTCAGCATCTCAAAGCACTTTAGCAGATTAAACGTCACCACTAAATAAACGGTAGAAAACCTCACACACACATACAACCCTGATCTACAACATCCAGACAATAAAACTGCTGAACACACTCAGTAAAACACAAATTACAACAACACCAATCTGAGAGGGGATATTCGTGTGTTTACAAATCAATGGAAGGCAATTCACAAATATAAAACATAAAACCATAGGCGGAGCGTGTGTAAGGCTGGCCATGGGGACTTGGGGCAAAAATGGCACTAAATTGGACAAAAATTTATTCGCTGTTTGAATAACCATGGAAAGGAAACGTTATATAATTATCAATTTCTAACGTTTTTATTCAATTGTAATCACGTTAAATACAAATTCAGTCCCATAAAACATTTTTTTAGCCTACATGACACATGTCTGGTTCTTGGGTTTATGATGTTTAATACATCTGGCTGCTTTTAGCCTTACCCTGGAGTTGGTTCACCCTCCGCCTATGCATAAAACTATCAAGGTTAATTAAAAAAATTCATAAATTCAGTAAAAACATAAAAATGATATTGTAAAACACACTGTGATTGACTGAAGTTATCAAACAGTAATGTGGGTGTTCACCTAGGAAAGATGTTTAATGTATATGAATCAAAATACGTTTACAGATCAATTTTACATTCACAAAACAAAACAGATTTAATGACAAATGAACGTTTTCATTTTGTGAAACTTGCATTCATTTGTGAATTTCAAACAAACATCACCATGTGCCAAAATACACAGATATATTAAACACAATTTTGTGTGCATACAGTTACAAGCACTGCTGAATTCTTCATAAAACTCAACATCACCGCTGCATTATTACCTCAGTTGTATATTCATTTTCAATCAGTTGTCAATTATTTCTTGCATACACGCATACATACTGCATTGCAACACTCACAAACACAAACACACACCCAGACAAAGAAACACACACACATGCATCGACTGTCACACTTTGGCAGAAGTTCATTATCACACTAAAACTGAGCTGATTAACACTTTCTCACCCCAAAGATAGAACAAGATCCAGAACAGCTGATCTTGACACACACAGACATGTGTAATGTTACATAACACCAAACATAAACCTTCATTAATATGCATTTCTATAAGTTCGGTCTCTATACTGAATAAAAGATCAAGCTGCAACGGCACAACAATGCTGACCTTTTCATTCACATCGTCCAAAAATGGGTGAAGTCAACTGAATATTCCAGTTTTTGAAAAAAGTCCAGTTTTGTATAAAAGGGTTTTGTGTCAGTTTGCATTTCCAATGCAACACTTGAGCACAATTATTATGAACAAACTTGAAATCAATTATATGATAGTTTTTTCCTATATTTTGAGCTGATGTTGAGATAAAACCTGCAAAATGATGTGAAATAAATTTAAATATGGTAAAAAAAAAAATTTTATAAATGGAGCTAAGAGTACAAGACTTTAACTGCTGAAAGCATCATCAAATCACATGAAATATTTAAGAAATGAACTGAAAATATGCAGAACTTTGTAATATGACAGCCATTTGAATTTTCAATCAGTTTTGTGTCAGTTTGTGTTTCCAATTAAACACTTCAGCACAATTTATTACAATTATGAACAAACTTGAAAATATGATTGTTTTTGACATATTTTGTGCTGAAATCTGCAAAATTCTGTGGAACAAATTTAAATATGGTAAAGAATTAAATAGAGCTGAGACTACAGCAGTCCAACTGCTGAAAACATCATCAAATTACCTGAAATATTTAACAGACAAACAAAAAATGTGCAGAAATTTGTAAAACGACAGCCATTTGAATTTTGAATCAGTCTGGGTTTTCCAATATTTTGTGCTGATGCTGAGATAAAATCAGCAAAATCCTGTACAATGAATTTAAATATGGTAAAAAAAATGAGCTGAGAGTACAAGACTCTAATTTACTTTAAATATTTAATAAATGAACAGAAAGTGCGCAGAACTTTGTAAAATGACAGTAATTTGAATTATGAATCAGTCTGGATTTTGTGACAGTTTGCATTTCTAACTTTACAATTAAGCACAATTTATTACGAACAAGCTTGAAATCACTGTTTTCCTCCATATTTTGTGTTGATGTTGACATAAAATCTGCGCAATTCTGTGGAACAAATTTAAACATAGTAAAAAATTTTTTTAATGCAGCTGAGAATACAAGACTTGCTCAAAGCATCATCAAATTACCTGAAATGTTTAATAAATGAACAGAAAAAGTGCCGAACTTTGTAAAATGACAGCTATTTGAATTCAGACACCCTTTCTTTCATGTAGGCCTTGGCTGGTGCTAAAATTGTTTTGCAATGGCGATTTTAAATGTCATTTTTACTTACAGTTGGGTTATGAGAGCGGCCCAGTGCTGCCATGAGATTTAAAGTCCTTTCACACTCTTCACAGCAAACTGACAGCTGTGTGTGTGTGTGTGTGTGTGTGTGTGTGAGAGTGTGTGTGTGTGTGAGTGTGAGTGTGTGTGAGTGTGTGTGTGAGTGTGAGTGTGTGTGAGTGTG